GATCGAGACAGAGATGTCACACCAAGTATCTTATCTCTCCATCATCCACACCATAATGACTCCATGATGAATTGTAAACATTGATTTTTTCCTCTTATGAGACCAAAACAGCTGTAAAGGGAAAGACAACCTGGCCATCAGAGAGTTATAAAGACAGAAAACACCTGTTTGACTCCAGGAGGGAATTGCTTGGGTTCCTATGATTGGCCAGTGTTGCGAAGGTTAGTGCAATTTCGGCCTTAAATTAGGTAATTCAAGGGAGCCTGACGAGACTGCAGATCATTTAAGCAGAAGGTCGTAAAAGGCTGGAAGTTGTAAGCCTGTTTCAGATGGCGGAAAGTGGTGATCATGAAGATAACCGGAAACATAAAGAGTATGCATGCATGTGTATATGTGTCACTGGGATGGGCTAAGGGCAAGTTGGAATGGGGGGGGTGGAGAGATGATGAGGTCATTGGATGATCAGGTGGATGGTATATAACGAACAAGGATGAATGCGGACGATCGCTGAAGGAGTTGCAGGCTGCGAGAGACTCCTGAAGGACTCAAGGAAGAAAAAGAAAACAGCACAGCATCTACGGGGGGTTTGGAAGTCATCCAGTATGCGTCTGCTGGCGGTTTTGGCTCTGCTCTTCTGCATAGTGGTGTGTGCGGACCAGGCAAGAGCAGAAATGCAGGCAGTGAAGCTGTGTGGTCGGGAGTTTCTGAGGGCTGTGGTCTACACCTGTGGAGGCTCCCGTTGGAGGAGATTCTTCAGTGAGCCAGACATGGGCGGTGAGAGCTTTAGCTTTCATGACAAACTAATGTTTTATCTTGCTATGAATCAACTCCATTTTATGCAGAATATTTTCTTAAAAATTACCGTCTATGCCATAGAAATAGTTGGATGTTACTTGTCTGGGAATGATACAAAATGTATTCCTGATGAGTAAGTTAGTAGGTTTATTGCATGTGGAAATATATTCTTTTTCAGCTCTCTTTACGGCTTTGTGTTATAGTATTAATTGGGCTGTGGGTGTGATGGGAGACAGGTGTCTCCCCACAGTGGCATATTCAACTCTATTATGCCAGAAAAGGTCATATGTCAGATGAGTAGGCGGCTGATCCCCATGACAGTCCTTCTCTTACTGTCTTGTCAGACAAATCTGGTTAGAGCATCAATCAGGGTAATTACAAGAAGGAAACTGACACTGTCCAAGATAAATAGCAGTCATTTAGGATGTCCTTTCATTGAGAATATGAATATAAATTACATAGAACATTTATGAAAACAGTTGCTTGTTATTTACACTCTTGAAAATATTTAAATAAAGACGTAATTAATGTTTTCCAGATGGTTCAGTTTTATTGTCAGGTTGGTTCTCATTCTGCATCCTCTTCTCTGTTCCGTCGCTCCAGGTCTGCCTGCAGGGGAGCAGAACAGCTTGGAAAACCTTAGCATCCCGGGATCTAACTGGAGCAAACGGGACATAAACAACATCCTGACAAACTTGTGCTGTCAGGTGGGCTGCAGGAAAAGCGAACTCACCTACTTGTGCTGATGACTATTTGGCCTTTTATTTTTACTCTCAGTGACCAAAATAACTGCCTTGTCTCCCATCTTGCCTTAAAACCTAAATTTCACTCTGACGTCTAATATTATGATCGTCTAATATTATGTGGTGCATCTGTGAATTTTTGTGTGAATTTGAGCTCAATATCCGTATCAATAAATACATGACTGAATATATTTTAAATAGAACTTGTATTAGAGCTTAGGGGTGTATTAATTGCAGATCAATTAAGACAGCCACCTAAAACCTGACATTTGGTCAGGTCTGAGATGGCTGATATGCAAGACCCATATGTGCAGAATAAAATAACTGTGGTGCAAGTTTGCATAGCTTCCAATTCTGCTTTTATGTGTAACACTTATGTTTTAAATTGTTATAAGAAAAATAAATGTTCTTGCAAATGCTTTTAGGTGTGGTACTTTAGTCATTGCAATCATTTCTATGAAAGGAGACTATTTTTACGTAATATCATCAGCTAAAAACAATTTTTTAATGCTTGAAAATTAAGTGAGAAAAGACACTGAATTAAAAGTCAGGTCAAATTTCAGTCTGATATTCTCTTGGGGTTACCAGCCCAATAAACAAGCAACGCTATTTACCTTTCCCAACTTCTAGCAGGTGGAAAGTAGTGTGTCATCTTCAATTCAAAGGTTGAACTTTTCAAAGTGAAACTAAGCAAGGATAACTGGGAATGGTGTAAATAGGTATGGATAGCTTGAACTGCAGAGTTACTGTCATGATTCTTTTAGAATTACTTTGAAATGGAAATTACTTTAGCTCAGGCTTCAGACGTTCTTGATTACAATTAGACTATATAATGAGATCAATCCAATACCAGGCAATCCAACTGGGCAGTAAAGCCAAATATTAGAATACACTGTGTAAAAATACTATATTTTTTCTTTCTCTTTGAAAATGAATCAGACTAAACCTTTACCGTTTCAGATCAGTGAGGTTTGACTAATTATTTGTATTTCCTAAAACCCAGAATAATGACAGTGAGAAGTTTATAGAAAGCCCAATTATATGGTTTTAAATAATTTGGTAAAGCCCAGAAGATGAGCTCATTGTTTTTTAAAGTTTCCCAAAGAATAATTTATAGCTCTAAAAGTAATTGGAGGCACATCAGTGGATGTATTTTAAAGCTACAACTCATACACATTGCCTTCTTGTTTGACATATTAAAACAAAAAGAAATGTATCAAGCTATAAACAGAGTATCTCCACAAGTCTGATTCATCTTTGGGTACAGTTTGCAGGCCTTGAGAGGCTCAATTCATCTGTTCAAATAACTGAAAATGTTATGTTAGAAAATGTATTATTTAACTCCAGGACAAACGCGAAAGGCCTTGTGAAGCTGTTGCTGAGTTTGATATGACGGTGTTACTCAAACTGAAACGAGTTTTGTCAGAACCTCAGATGACAGCTGGCTCAGAAAAGAATTGCTCTGAAAGTAATGCAAAAAGACAAATTACAAAAGCAACCAGAGACATATTTTTTTTTTATTTTAGAGTTGTGTTCTATAGTCTGATAAAACAGAAATTGAAATGTTTGATTGTAACGAGCATCTATGCTGAGAAAATCCATGTAAAATTCAGAATTTAAACCAAAAAAGATCTAAATTATTCTGGCATTAGAATAAAACAAAAAAAAACAAAACAAAAAACTGAAGGCAAGTCCAACTGACCTAAAACAGCAAACAGGTCGTCTAATTTAAAACAGTGAGAAAAAATATACACAGTGTTAACAAATATTTGTTTTAAACTCTTCATTTCAATTTAATACTAGTAATAATAGAGGTTCAGTGACATTTAAAAGGTCAAACTGACAACAAAGCCTCCAGGACAACAAGAATTAATGCCTGAATTTGGTCTCTAAAACAAAATCAACTGGATAAAATCTGAAATTTTCAAAATAACATGAACATTACTTTGAGTGAAATTAGATTTAAATTTGCAATACCTGTTTTTCTGCAGAGTCTTCAGGGAGAAAGAGATAATTCAACAAAGACACAAAGTGACACAAAAACAAGCATCCAGTTATACTTTTTATTGGTTTTGGAAAGAAGCAAACTAATTTTCTCAGTTTATCTTAGCGTTGTTATGTTCTGTACAAACAGCTTGCACATGAGTTTGAGGTTAACTGCACAGAACCAAAAAGAAGCATCCCGGCTTCTCACAAACAAAAAAGCCACTCCCTGCTCTCTTTTCAACATAACCCAAGGTAAGTGACACTCAGCACAACATGTCATTTCAGTACTACCTCTCACCATAGATGCCTCACTTTTTACTGCATGCTCTGCATGCAATAACTACAGGCAGAAAAATTCATCACTGGGATGAAGAGCAGGAAATTGCTCGCATATTTCGATTTTATTTTTCAAATTTCATTTAAACCAATTAAAGATTTTGGTTGTGTCTTTCAAGCTGATAAAAAGCTTAAGCTACTGAGTAATGATCATTTAAAATGCTTACATGATTAGTGTTGCATATTGTGGACATTGGCAGATAATGCTGTAGTGACTGTTGCACTGACAATCTCACAATTCGTACAAAAGATAACAGAATCCTGTTGGACATGGTATCTATTCAACATAAAAGCTGTTATTATCAGATGAAGGTTTCACTGGAAGCTAAATGGCACCAATCAGTCATCTTACTTCAAAATTCATCTTCTATGTTCCCTTATATTGGATCTGCACACAAGAACATAAAACATCCGTTTGAATTTAATTGTGCAGCCCAGCTCTTCAGTCACTAAATATATTTACAATGCAAACTATATCCAGTCAAAGTACTTCATAAGTCAAAATTATTAGATTTACAGATTTGTTTCCCCCTCTAGAGTTAGTCACGAGACTGTGATTGGTTACATTTAGCAGAATGCAGACAAACAGTACACCACATACAGTTTTCAGTTCCACTTCATACACAGACTTTGTTCTTCATATTTCAGAGCATTCAGGAAGTTGAACATAATCAGCACAGTGTTGTTGTTCTCACATTAAACAATAATATATTTTTCTGCATTTTAAAAATATTCATCTTATTATCGTCAACACAGGACTGACTGTCCGGGGTACACACAGACACACACACACACACACAGACACACTCACACCCACACACACAAAATACAAAAACAGAACAAAAATAGAATTTTGGTCTACTTAACCTTGCTTCACACCCTCATTCAAATCAAGTCATCTCACAGAGACCATTACATATATGAAAATTAAAGCCATGAATTCAAGCGCTGGCATGATCAACTGGGTGTGCTGCATAAGGTTTAGTCTGGGAGTTAGTTACCATTGAAATAACTGGTATCAGGTGAAAAGTATAACTGGTAAAAACCAAAGGCTAGTAGTATCTAGTAGTACTTTTATTTACTGGATTAAAGTTTCTCTTTTACTCAGAGGGCAGAGGAAACAAGCTGGTCCCAGTAAACTTATTTGCAGGTGTTCATGTTATATTTGAAAGAAACTGCTTGACATTTTGGGTTTGTTAATACTGCCATCCATTTGCCTTGGAAGTTGGATGTTGAGTGCATTCAATTTGAAAGCAAAAATCTACAACTGCAAATTTTTAATTCTGGTATATGAATGGCAGCCATATTGGATTTACACCCTGGGTAGCCCCTGAAGCTGGGAACTCCAGCTTCAGGGGCTGCTCTTTAAACATAGGATTTACCACAATTTTCTTGCTAGCTTATCTTAGCATAAAGACTGTAATCAGGGGGAAACAGCAAATGTAGCTATATTCAAAAGTGAACAAATCTCAGGTCTCACGAGGCTGTAGGGAGGTAAGAGTAACCAATGCTGATGCTAATGAATGCTTGCTAACAGTTTTTGACTGTTATTAGAAAAAATATGCAATATTTTTTGCATCTGAGTAATCTATTTCATAATCAATTAGTAAGACATGTGAAATAAAAGGGAACCTTGTGATTTTCTACAGCTATTTGGAAAGCCAATGGGATTCACATTATTAAAACTCTGAATCCGTAAAAGCTCGAGCCAGTCGCAACAGCGCCAAAACTTGCAACAGATTTGCTGAAGCAGGGCCATTTGACAGTCAGGGAAATGGATAAAAATCATCTTGGTTTGACTAAAAACAGCTGCATTATATTAATCTGCATAAAGGAACTTCTGAAGCTTTATTTAAGGTGCATTTTACACTTTTTTCATTAAGATAGATTGATATCTTCAGTTAAGAAAACAAAATGTGTGATACTCTGAGTCTTATAGGTACTGGCTAGGAAATATTTAATAAATAAATATAAACCCAGTCTTTATGCTAAGTGAACAGTCCCCAGGCAGATATAAAAGGTAATGATAATTCCAAAATGTCAAACATTTCAGTGTGTATATGTAAGTTTTACTCTTTGAAAGTTCAGTTGCTGTAACCAACTAGCTTTAATAGAGCCTGTCATATGGTGCTGACACATGACATTCAACTGCTATCTGGCAAATCCATCAACCTGCAGGTGGAAACTGACTCCAGCATCTTGGACAGAAGACAGTAATGTTGAGCTTACATGTTTTATCAACATAATTATGTTTTCCTGGACCATTATCCCCTTAAAAACTAATGAGCATGAACCCCCAGGCTACCCTGGGTTGTTTCCTGTGTGTTTTGCCTGCGGTGCAGTTTATGTAGAAAAAAGTCGCTTGACTCAGTCGTTAGTCTGCAACTCACATATGCAGTTTCACAACTAAATGTTCTCATTAATTAAGTACTTATTTTTCAGGAATGCAAACTATAACCGATTCTTATTTTACAGCAACTTCTCTTCGTCTTATATAAAGTCATTTCAATCTCCATTTAAAGGTGCAACTGTAAAGAGTTTCAAATGTACTCTATAGCTGCAAAAGCCTTTAATTATATTTATGGCAGATGAGAGATAAACAGAAGTACTCTGCTGTCATAACCAACATGTCTGATATTTTCTCGGTGTTTTACTTGGACACAATATTACAATCTCCCAAAACTCTGAGGAAACATGACACATTATAAGACATATGATAAATTAAATCAATGCCATGTGTCTTAAAATAACATTGCACACATGCAATCTTTAAAAACATCTAATTAGCTAAAAATAAACATTCTTATGGTGGTGTAATTGCTTTTATTCTGCCTCAAAACAAACGTAAAACATTTCCACATAAACAAATTAAAACACTAAAATAGTACTATGATAAGAAGATTTGGTCTCCCTGTATGCATACATGTACTGCAATTAAAATATAGTACATGTAAAAGCAATGCAAAACACAAACAGTGGAGTACTTCCAAAACAAAATGGTTCAAATATTCTGCCAATCTGAAATCCAGAGATCACTACAAAGGTACAGGGCAATATCAAGGGTACTACAAGCCCCATTTTGGTTTAGATTTTTACTCTGGCAGACGAAGCTAAAATAGAAGTGGGTAAAAATAAATGGCTCAGAAAAACTACTCTAGATGTTGGAAACATGACTTTTGTTATGCCCTCATTAACAGCTTGTTATGGTAACAGCCACTCACACCTCATTCATAAGCAAGTTGCAGAAAAGTTGAGCTGATTCGATTTACAATGTGACTAAATGGCGATTGCCAACTGCAAAAGATTCTTATATATGTGCAATAGAAATGATTGTATAAAAACTATGAAGGGGTGAATAACCTCTAAAGAAGGTATAGAAGAGCTAGCTGGTTAGCATGAACTTTCAAAATAAAACGTACGCATATAACTTTATTGAAGTGTGGACTTCTAACTCTACGATAACACTGCTTTCACAAAGCATAACACGGCATCCAGGAAGATATTCATCATTTTCTTTAAATTACCCCACGGCCCCCACCCATATATAGCTCAAATCTTCTGTTGCACTTGAGTTAAAAAATTATATCTGAAATCAATTCAAAAAATTATACCTTATACTGTACACAAGGTTACCCAACTACACAGATAACAAAAAATGCAAGAGAATTCAAATATTTATACATTTAAGGGTTCCAAGTTGTGTGATACCATTCAGATTCTATTCATATACAGAATCACATGTTTTATACAACAAATCGTCATCAATAAATAAAAATAGAATGCTGTCATGTAACTCTGGTGTCTAACACTGCTGTTCTGGGAACAACAGAAAGGCTATCTGACAATACAAGGAAAACACCAAACGCCCTTTGAGATACATGTTAAAATGACACTGTACAATTCTTTTGTTCTGACAGGAAAACCCTGCATATTTCTTATTTAGATTTTTTTATTTTCAACCAGTGAACTGACTCATCAATGCAGCTGCCTAACACTTCTCAGTACAAGTGTGCAATAAAGAGATATAATTATCTGATTGTTGCATCAAACAGGATGCAATTGAAAGTCGTAAGACCCTGTAGTACCAGTATGTAATCCTTGAAAAACTATGTTTATGTAGCTACTTGAATTTGTTTTGATTAGATTGTTTCAACGCACTGACAACAATCATTAACAAAAGCATGTTTGCTCTGAGGTTTGTGATTTAGCATAACTCATTTCGTACTGCTGTACGTGCTGATTCAACTGTGTGGGCTGAGATGTGTCACTGCGAAAAAGTTCCTCACAGACCAAAGAAAAATGCTCTGTCCAAGTCTTCTGTCAGGCAGCTGCAGTGAAACTTTATATAACACCACCAAACACTGACCAGAGGAGGATGGAGACAGAGGCACAGACTTTAGAGAAGGAAAGAACCCAGGTGTCTAACTGCAGCAACACACGTTTTGTATGAGATGAGTACAAATACTATAATTACATGACGTGAAACAGTTCCACAATGCTATATGCAAGTTATACAATACTGCTGGGTAGGCTGCAGACCTTGTCGTGTGGGTCACAGGAGTGTCTGGTTTGGGTCTGTCCTCTGGTCGCGTTGCTAACCTTGGTCCATGACAGTCTTTCAGTTTATCAGTGCTGCTCTTAGTGGGGGTCAATTGTCAGCCAGGTATTTTCCTGAAAGATACAAATAAACTGCTGCTGTTACTGGGTCACATGTGCAGTCATGCTACACACTGAAGGGTGTGTGTGGAAAGATCCATGGCAGCCAGACTGTGTGTGCTACAGTGGTAAATTAGTTATACAGTGATGAAAGAGAATTGCTATCCAATGACGCTAGGTTTTTCTATGCCGATAAAACAACAGTGTGACAGAGGTATTAAAGTTGCATGAAGAATGTTTGCATCCAAAAAACACCCCAAGTGCACAAGTTATACTGAAAAATGTAAGAAACCTGTTATGTCATTCATGTAATGAGCACTACTTAAAAAAACAAAACATATAAGCTTAAGACTATAGGTGGGTGGATCGGCCCAAAATATTAATAACATCAACATCAAGTCAGTATCAGTATTGGTTTCAGATTCTCCCTTTGATTTTATTTTTGTACTGTAGATTTTGTTTTCATTAGCTCTCAAATTCAGATTTTTTTGAATGAACAAAACTGTGTTTTGTCTTTGTGTCGTTTCTGTTTATCATATTAATATATTATGATAGTTTTGTAGACACCTTCAAACTTTGTCCAAATTCTTTTTGACAAAATAATTCAAATAGAAAAAGCAGAAAACACGTGATGGTCAGAAGTTTGATGTGATCAAGCCTAAATAATAATAAATAAAGATATCAGTGTCCGTCTACCTGGTCACCTAAAAGTAGCTGGATAGGACTGATTAAAATAAATAAATAAAAATGTAACTATGGAAGCAAAGCTTATAGATATAAAAAAAATGTTTCTGTTTGGATAAACTTTTGAATGCAGAGAAACTTACCTGCAGCAAACCTCTTTTTAACTAGAGAGAAGCGATATCCTGGTCCAGCCAGTTCAATGTCACATCCTGACAGGTTGCTGCCCTCACTGGTGAACTGCACTGCCAGTGGCGCCGGTTTACTGGGACCCTCTGTTAGCTGGAAGCGTGCCAACAGGGACCCCACACCTGGGCCAAGAAAATGAATATTGAAAGATACAACAGTGATACATTTACATAATTATTTTAGATAAATGTATATTTTACTTCTGAAACAGAATCTGAATATGGGCAGAAATTCATCTCAAAGCTGTAAACTATACCTCCGTTTTCAGATTTCTTGGAGATATCAGGGATCTTCCATAAGATTCTTTGCTGCTCTGCATTCCTGTATAGATAGAAATGGAAACATTTATTTGAAGCCTATAGAACATTTTGGAATTAATGCTAAGATTTAACACCTAAGGTAAATAGAAACCTTTTTTCAGCAAAATGGTATTTGAGTAAAATCTTAAATCATGTAAAGAAAGTTTGATGTATTTTTTTCATTACATTATTATTTAAAATATTAATGTGCTTTATTTCACGTGCACTTGAACTTCCTAAACGAACTTAACCACATTGTTTCAACAAGCTGACATCTTTAGGTTGTAAGCTAAACAGTGTTTAATAATCAACTAGTTTATGATTTGGTGCATACCATACAGCAGGAGGTAGGACAGCTTGTAATTTTGAAACACCTCCATCGATAGGGACGAGAAACTGGACGTTGTTGAGAGCCATCGGCGTCGACATGGCCTCCCCGTTGTATTTGTAGTCTATCCTCAGGTCAGTGCTGGTGGGCTCACATCTCCAGCTCACAGCCAGGTTCAGAGGAGCCGACTGGAGGCCATTTGTTGATACCTAAACGCAGACATGTGTTAAGTATTGAGAGAAATACGTTTTTTTATGGAACATGTATTTCTCTCAAAAGGACCAAATGTTTGGTCTCTGGCTGAGCTAACCTGATACTTGAGCATGTCGACGTTGTAGTATGTTGCCTGCGGCTTCTGCTCAGCCACCTTCTTTAGATGGGATATCAGGTTTGGCATATTCACCCAGAAGTCCTTTGAATCAGCCTTAGATTGTGTCGTGGTGTCGCTGGTTGGTGGAGTAAAAGAAAGTAATCACAACCCAGACAACACACAGAACAATTGTGATTTTCAAACACAAAAAGGAAAAAAAAAGCAAGCACAAAGCTTGACGGCAGATATAAAAAAGTACCCAGAAACATATTACTTTAATCAAAAATGGGCATAGAAATTTTTTTTAAAAACCAACACAATAGGTGATTTACCAAGGAATTCATTTTCATGAACCAAATTAAATGATTTCTATTTAAAGTCAAATTGATTCATGTCATTGCTTCATCATTCATTAAAAAATTCAAAGCAAATTTAACACCACATTAAAAACTACAAAAGTTTAAAGGTAACTAAAATTCTAAGTGAGGGGAACGTGTAATAGCCTTCATGAAGCACAGGGGGCAGTGCTACATTTCTGTCTGGCTGGAGAAAAGGCCAGCCACTTTGATGTTTCTCTGGCATTTACTTAAAATACCTTTAAACTATAGGATAATATATATTAAACTATATATTATTGTTTATACTAAACAATAATATAAACATTTTAAAGGTTTTAAAATTGTAACTTTTTAAAGCCTCAGTACATCTTGATCTCAGTGGTTAATAAATGGGTAGTTAATAACAATCCAATAGAAAACTGAACATCAGCAATTGCAACATTTGCCATTTCTAACATCCAGTATAAGTTTTTATTTCATTAAATCGACAAGTAATGCTGGTAATGTTAACAAAATGTGTAATGCAAGGTGTGTCTAAAGGTCTAATATGAATTTAGTGAGGTTTAATTCATTTATTGCACTCATGTTAAACATTTAAGCTAAAGTAATAAAGTTAGATGATAAGTGCCTCAGCCTTATTAAAGGCTCCTTGCTTCACAGAGATACTGTCTGAGGTGAAAAGGTGTGTGAACAAGGTGGTGAGTTTACGGTGATGGTATTACCAGCAGAGCAGCTGGGGGTTAGGCAGGACATGCTCCAGTCGGCTGTAGTTGGTTATGCTGAAGGTTAGCACGGCAGGGGACGGGTTATTGGCAAAGTGCCGTGTGATTCCTGCCGGAAACGACAAAACCATCTCACCTATGACCTTCACAACACACCTGGAAGAAAGAAAAGTTGTAAGTTGCAGACAAACATCACCCAAATAATTTGTAACATTCTTATGTTCTGTCCCCTCTTTGATTTTCTTTAGATAATACATCTGAATCGTACTGTTTCGAAATGACTGCATGCAATTCAAAGCAACAACATCATGAGTAGCAAGCTAAATTAAGAAAACAATAAAACATTTTGTTTAGCCCACAGTAAAGCAGTGCAAACACAGTCATGACCAAGCCTAAAATAAATCTATTTGCCTACACATGAGGCAAATAAATACAAAGCTATTCTAAATGCAACTTTACATTTACTTTATAGCAATACATTGTTTTCCCAAACTTTCTTCAGTCTAACTCCTTCATTTTACAAAAATCCAGTGATATTTCAATAGCTGTAGATGTCATATTGGAGCCAAAACAGAGACATGCCACATTTTTTAGTAAATAATATGGACTATTATCCTTTAGATCAACTCCATGAACTGACTAAATAATTTTTTTTTGATGTTGTCAAATTAAAGACATACTTGCTGGGGTCTGCTCCTTTAAAAAAGGCGTTGACAGTCTCTGTGAATGCCGCGGCCACAGGAAGTGTGTCCTGGGCCCCCATAGTGAGAGGGCTCGGTCCTCGGGAGCAGCCTAAAATCAGGGCAAAGCAACACAAAAACAGAATTAAAACTAGCATGAAACATAGTGAACACATGACCAAATGAATTTGAAACCTTATAGTAAATAATTATTGATGATTTAATCATTTTTTTATTGAGAGCAGATATGTAACTAAAAAGTTCCAGGCCAGCACTTTTACACTCTTCCAATCCAAAAGTCCAAGGATGAAATGAAGACAAAACATTTATAAATGACAATGAAATGACATGAAAAGAAACATCACACATTCATAATGAATAGAAATACCAGTGTTAGTAAGGTTGAACAGCAAATTACACACAAAGATGACACATTTCTCTCTGCTTCTTGACTGAGAAATATCCCCTTTATAAAGTACAATTTCATTTATTGGCACAATTCGTAATACAGCGATGTTTGCTTTTATTCCCCGAATAAGCATTGCTAGGTGCAGAAGATGATAGCAAGGCAGACTAAGAAAAAGACAAGTATTTGCATGCTTATTTCCAGATGTATTTTATAGTTGCAGTATTTTTCACAAGATCACAGAAAATGACATCTAACCAAATAAACTAGAAGACCACCAAGAGGAAAAGTAATTATAAATAGATTAGTAAAGTGCACAAAGAAAGATGAATCTTCAAGAAGGAAAGTGGAGGTGAAATGAGACCGAACAATGTCAAAAGAGAGAAAAGAAAATGTTAAAAAATATATTTTAGTTCAGAGAAGGAATGCTCAGCCACATATTTAGCATGGTGAGGGTTAGAGGATCTTTTGAGGGAGGAGCTTAAGGAAAAGGGCAGCGTAGAAGGTAGGGCCAAGCTTGCACGAATGAGACTCAGAAGAGTGTTTATGTGTGTGCACGCTTCCCTGTTACCGAGGAAACTTACCTTCAAAGGTTAAATAAAACTTCCCTCTGTCAAACCAAACAAGGGATGGCTGGTCATTCTCTGTGTTGGGTGGAGGGGGAGCAGTGAAGGGGAGGAGGTAGAGGGATGAGAAGGTGGGAGGCGGGTGAGGAGGGGGGAGAGAAGGACAGAAGCATGAGTCTCACATGGAAGGTCTATCACACGTCACGGTGAAGTGAAACGTGGAGGGTGAGGGCCGGGTGAGAGGAGAGACAGAGCATGGAGACACTGCCAGGACGGAACATGTGACGAGATGGGAGAGATGCATACTGGCCAAAAATTGGGTGACTGAGACAATGCTGGACTCGGGTAGACATAGGGACAGCCAGGCTTGTGCTGCTGAACGTTGGTCAGGATGGATTTCAATGTTGACTTGAGCTAAATAGCAAAGGGGACTGTGGAGTCTCAAATGATCAACACTATGATCAAAACTGAAAACATGAAGCAAGCGGACACATTTTCATCTGCGGTATTTATAATGTTTGAAATTTACGCCGATTACATTATGATCACAAGCTTAATAGTGTGTTCCCTTTTGCTGACAAAACAACTTTGATCTGTTGAAACATGACCTCTGAAGACGTCTAAGGATCTTAGCAGTAGATCCTTCAAGACTTTAAGTTAAGAGATGGGACCTGAAGGGATCTGCTTTGTTTGTCCAGACCATCAAATACTTAACTGATGGTTAAGTATTTGCTTGGGGAAACAAGACATTCTTGTTTCCCCAAGCAAGAACACCTTCTTCCATTGCTCTGTCCAGTTCTGATACTCACATACCCATTGTTAGTGGTGTGGGTGGTGGACTGGAGACAGCATTGGCATCTTGGCTAATTTCATTCATAGCAAATTATAAAACGCTTTAAATTCTGACTTCTTTATGTCAGAATAAACAACAACTTCTCCAGCAGTTTAAGCTACAGCAACTCAACTTTGGGTTGGAATTGTGGTTCAGCCTTCACCACACACCAGTAAGTCTCAGCTGCCCATGAACATGTTGCTGTTCCCTCCCTGAACTCCAATTTAAACATACCAATCACTACTGGGAAGACTACACAAGAGCTAAATCTTGAAGATCCTCTGACTCAGTCATTCTGTAATCACAATTTGGACCTTTTCACACTCAGGTAAAGCTTTACATGATCCCATTTTTCCTAATACTAACATGTCACCTTGGAGGACTGAAATGTCCACATGCTGTCTGGCATTTCCCACCAACTAACACGAAGAGGCAATCTGTGTTAGTCTGTGGTAATAATGTTAAAACTGATTAGTGTATACACCTTTCTGATGCCATTCTATGTTTACATTATCATTAGACTACCATCTTCACATTATGAAACAGAAGAGATGGATGCAATGAACTAACACAAGGTGCAGATGGCAATCATGAGACCAAAACACAAGAAGAAAAGGTGGAGAACAGAAACCCACATTTCAGGCTCTGGAACTTGCTTTGAAAGAAAACTGAGAACGAAAGTCTGTTTAAAAAGCCCAAAAGGTGTGGTTAGACTTGAACAAATCCCTTCACAGAGGGAAACCCCAATGATGACATGTGTCCCATTTAAAAAATTTTTTTGGCCCACTACTTGCCAACAGCAACACATTATCTTAGTACGTATTTTAGAAACAACGTGGGAAGCCAAAACATGATATGGAAATTATAAAATCCAAACCACATTACAGCTTCACTCAAAGTTTTGCTTATAATAACATCATTTTCAGGTGAAAGTCTGGATAGTTTGACCGTTTGAGGTGGCCAAAGGGAAGTAAAACAGAAATATCAGAAAAATGAGCATTAAACTGAGGCAAACATGGATAATCGTGCTTTGTTCTGGTTGGAAAACAGTGTATTGGGGTATTCTGAAGCTTAATTGGCAACACAATGCAATTTTAAAAACAAATATTTTGGGGCAAGATAAAGATAAGTGGAAAGGCTCTTTTCATTAGTACAACAGCAGCAAGGAAAAATAATTATATTAAAATAACATTTCTTAATCCAGTCCTTATGCTCAACAACAAGGCAAAACCTTGGTTTTTGTTCATCTGTTTGTTGTGGCAAATCGCTGCTAATGAATGAGTGAGCCGACTAAGAATGTAGAGTGGTGGAACAAAATTAGCGTAATCCATTATGTGACAAACACAACATGTCCTTCAATATGTTTGAATGGGTTCAAAGGTCTCTGTGCCTGGAGAGTGAATGAGTGGCAGGTGTGAAAGGTGGAAGTCGCAGATCAAGGCACCTCAGTGAGATTGGGTAAACTTGAGGCTTGTACTCCAGTTGTAGAGAGACAGACATGAATACAAAACAGCTGCTTGTCTAATTCGACCTGATTCTCATGCCAGACTTCAAACCAGGCTCTGATCTAACACAGTGTGTGACAATGAGTGTTGTGAATGTGTGTGTGTGTGTGTTTGATGATCTCAAGAACCCTCATATGAGGGGCTCTTCAGACAAGCTCACCCAGAAACCCAGCACACACAACACTCAGAAACATTTATGGTGTTGAATACCGAGACAAAAGGAATCTGGGAGAGACTTTGCTGCACAAGAAAGGAATCTCTTGAAATATGAGAGATGGGAGGCTACCATGGTGACAGGGCAAGACAGTCACTGGTGCACAGTCATAAGACAGAGAGAAAAGTCTCAGGCAAACAGATGAACGGAGAAACAAATATTTCTTTTAACTGGTGTGATTCAACCAGGTTTCATTATTAGTTGCATTTTTGACCTGAGAAATAAACAGGATGAGAAAAAAAGCTACATTAGTGAGATAAATACTAAAATGTCTTTAAATATGTGAGATGAGAGCAAAACAATGAGAAAATTTCACTGACAAGCAAAAGGAATGCCATGAATTTATGGTATCTCTTCACATTAGAATGAAGAAAACTGATGTGAATGGAAAAATAAAGGTATTTCAACAATGGCAAAACCATGGCCTTTTTGGACACTTTGAAACATGTATTTGATCCAGAAAGCTTAATGTAATGTTATAAGCTGAGAGAATTGGAAAAATGGCCTGCTTTTATTGTTAAAGTACCTTCACTTTTCACTTACATTCATCAAGATGGCATACATAACACTCCAGAATGGCCTTTAAGGTCCTCAACCAAGATCAATCTCAGCAGAAACCACCAAACAGAAAAACTCACAAAAGAGCACTCCAAACCCACACTTTATAAAATGCCTTGCAGTCAATATGAAACAAACGCCTTTAAAAACTACTCACAGCACCAAAAGGAAGTTTACATATGTTGACCATGTGCATGTACATCATAAATATTAATGAATGGATATACATGGACACACAAATGGATGATACAGCAATCAGCTGGAATGATAAAGACACATATTTGATGGGGTCCAATGTAGACATTTTTTCTCAGTGGGGAATTTGCTGAATGAATCCAAAAAGCTGCATTGCCTGTTGTCTCGCTATTAGCTCATATTTATTGTAGTTGTAATAAATGATTAATTATCAATGGATACGTTACTGATCTCATATTGACTCCTATAGCATTCCATACTCCCCCCAAGTGCTCTGTTGGAGTTGAACTTTACCTGCAAATGAATCAAAGTGCCTCTCAAAGGTGGGCAGTTTGTCTACATAAGCATCATCTTCTGATAAGCCAAAGAGCAAACAAAGGGACAAAACAGCAAAACAAACAAAAAAAAAAGAAAGAATTTCAAACAAAAGCTCAAAAATAGGCGTACAATCAAGTATGTAAATAGAAAATGGAGATCTTAAATAAAAAGCAGCGGAAAATGTCAAAATTAAAAGCAGTGGAACTGAAAAGCTTACGGGGGCTTACAGTCAAATAGAAGGTATTTTAATAGAAAATAGGTAATGACTATAAATTGCCTAATGATCATACAAGCAGATTTGCCATTACCCAAAGGTACACCAAAATGAATGAAAGCTAAATCAAGGGCCAAAGTCATGATTAGTTGAAATGTTGGGATGCTTTGATGGGGCCAAACAAGTCTGTGAGCCTCAATGCAGTTAAGAGCTATGAACCAAAATTTACTCACAGCGATGTAAGATGGATAAAATACATTAAATTTTTTTCTAGTCTAAAGGTCGTTTTGCATTTGGTGTACTTAGTTTCTAACACATAGCTTTTCCTTTTTGATATTATCTTTGTATAATAGCTAATGACTATATAGAATGTTTTTAAACATCTGAGGTAATAATTACATTATTAAGAAACCTGGTAAACATCTGATCCTTTAAGTATACATTCTTCAAGCAATGGGACCTAAAAATCAGTTTGAATAAAATCCCCCTGCAATCGAGGACTTTTCTGATTTTATATAACTCCCGCTGCTCCATGGTGTTTGTATTTTTCATGCTGCTATGACTCAGCCATGTTACAGCCTACTGAGATTAGCTTTTATCCACTCACAACTCTGCACTGCAGGCTCCTTTACACAGACTCTAAATTTAGATCAAGGACTATGAACTGCTCTATCGTTAATTCATTCAAGAATGTTTGAGAGCGAAAATCAAAACCCTGCTTCATATTCTCACCTATCGCTCACATTCAGCATGTTTGCAAGCGTGAAATTTAATCAGCCCAATTGACACAAAATCGTTTTTGTCAAGAATTTCTTCTGTGTAAATGTCAAGTCTTTTAACACTTCAATTTAAATGATAAAAAAGTAAAATAAAAAAATGATCCAAACAAAAGGAGCAAGAGCAGAAGGCAAGTTTGAAAATGAATAAAACATTAAGTCTTACACAAGTGCGGGTGGACTATTTCTCTCAGTTTTTCTTTTTATATTAGCAGAACCTTCAAACATCAGAACTGGTTCACACACCTGACACAGACACACACAACTCCTTGCTAACAGTGGGTGTGGTAGCAGCACTCAGGGAGTTGGTGGAGGAGATTGAGGAGGTGCTCTCTGCTCGTGCCAACGGAGCAATGGGAGGGGGGCTCGCCGAGTGGATTGGTGGGCTGAACGGCCGGTTCTAAAAATACACACAAAAAAAAAAGGCAAAAATTAGGTTGATATTGACCTTAAATCAATATTTAAATCAGGTTCTGCTTGGATAAAAATATAAAGAAGTGTTTATCTTCTTATGTTCAACCTCTGCAGGATTTCTTGTTTACAACAGAAGATGGAAGATAAAGTAAACTCCTAGTTAGATTTTAAACTTATCACAAAAATACAAGGTCGATCTTACCACATCTCCAACAGCAGGTTTCCCAGGAGGAAGCTTGGGTCGTGAAGGGGGCCGAGGCGGAGGTGGGGGTGGGGTTGGGTTGACTGACGAGGGGGTGGAAGGTCTTACAGGTGAAGAGGAACCTGAAGATGAGCGCAGAAACCACGCAAGGCTCAGATATAGTTCAATCGCAGATATAGTTCAAATTTACTAAACTTAAATTAAGCAATAAAAACTGCAAATAAAATGACAAGGATCAATGCATTGTATATTTCCTGGAATAATAAATATTCTTCAAAAGCCTTAAATAAGGCAAATTATTCCAGTAGCATGATCCCACCTTGACAAAAGGCTATTATTTCAGTGGAAAGATGTCCCATATATTGAAATTGTTGTTTTATGCTAAATACCCACAATTATTGTCAACCATTTCTAAATGTGACTTAAGAAGTTAATCAGAGTACAAGTGAACTTTAATTAGTAATCCATCATGAAGTCATGTCATTTGTCTCATCTCTAATTCATTTCTCTAGTTCATCAGCTTCTGGCCATAACACGTCTCTTTGAGTTCAAAACATCTATAGAACATTGCAATATTTTTCTCCTTGTAAGAACAGCAAATGTTTATAGTTCTGTCTAATAAAAAAACAACAACAAACAGATAAGATTTTAATATATAAAGGTAACAAAATGGCAATAATAAGACAATATTTTTGCTGCAAAACAAAAGCTTTGTAGATAGGTTAAGTTTAAAAACTAATCATAACTCAGTAAAAACAAATCACTCAACAAACATGGAAAAATAACGTTCTGTATTCATCTGAGTCAAAACAACACTGTCCCTCCCCTCCAAACATCTGTTCAGTCTGTGCAAATTTAATAGCCACAATCCATCTGGCAGTTTGTCCCTTTCAACACCAATGAACTGAAACGTTTTTATATTATAGTCAATACAAAATCATAGCATGGCATCTGAGAACTTCCAATATAAATAAGTACTCACCACTATTTGTCCCTCCTGCTCCAGCTGTGGGGCCTGGTGATGAAACTACTGCACGGTACGTTGGAGGAGGAGGCGGCGGTGGGGGTGTGCTCCGACTTTCTTGGTTGGTATCTTTGGGAGAGGTGATCGTTTCACCTCCTTCCTCTTTGGGATGAGAGGCGTTTGTGTTCTTAGACTGCTCCTCTTGAGAGAGGACAAGGGGTGATGGGATTGAGGAAGCTGAGGGTTCTTCAGAAAGGAGAGTCGCCACTTCACGGGTCCCCTCCTTGGGGGCAGGGACTGGTGGGACACCAGCAGGTGAGCTAAGAGGGGGAGGGGAGGAAGCTGGGGGTGATGTATGCTCCTTTAATGCAAGTGGGGGAGAAGAGGCGATGGAGAGTGGATTTTGGTCTTCTGGTGTGGAGGGACCTGAACGTATAGGAGGCAAGAAAGGCTCCTGTGACGGAGGTGGGGAGGTTGGAAGAGGAGGAGGCGAGTCTTCTTTTGGGGAAAGAGCGATGGGGAGAGGAGGAGGTGACGTAGGTAGAGGGGGAGCAGGGGACTCAGGTGGAGGAGGGGAGGCTGGTGGTGGAGGAGGTGCTGGCTCTTCAGGAGGGGGTGGTGAAGACGGCATATGTGGTGCTGGAGGTCCAGCGGGAGAGTGTTCACTGAAGCAGACCCACTTGTCGTCTGTATCTTCACCAGCAGGGGGAGCCACCTCCGGTCCAAAAATGTTGTCTAGGTCTGCTATGGAGGGCTTCCTGCTTGAGTCATTTGCATCTGCTGATGCTTCTGGAATGGAGACCAGAGATAAATGTTACTTTATTTATACATTTCTGGATATAAAGTTTTGATTTTTATAAATTTGATAAGTATATTTATATAATGATAACCTTTTAATTGTCAATGTCAATTTATTACTACTAACTACACCAAAGTGCTGCACAGTATTTTTAAAACTTATGTAAAGCACTTTATGTAAAATTTGATTTTAAGAAAAGAGCTCAATGAAAACCGTCAGTTCAGCCATTTCATGCACAGTATGTTGTTAAAATAAAATTATGGTTGAATATGTTTATCATTAAAAGATTTTAAAAGTGAAAAAAAAAAAGGCAGAAAAAATTCTCACCAGCAGCATCTGGAGAAGGGGCTTCAGTTGTTGGGGGTGAAGTTGGGACATTCTTAGGCGGAAGGGGAGGAGGAGCTGAAAAAATGTTAAGAAAGTTATTGAATGGTTCATAGATTAAAACTATAACTGTTCCAATATTCTTGTAACTGTAGGGTGTGTTGCATGGGATGCAGATTTCTGGTACAAATAAAAAAAGAAGAGTGTCAGCAGATTAGCTTGTAATGACTTAGCAGGAATTACTACATCTGTCAAAAAACAGCAATACTTCTTATGAGTGGAACACAAAACCATCCATCATGCAGCACAGAACCTTACAATTCAGTCACCACCATGCCAAGTGCAAGGATAGGGCAGCACAAAGGAAGGGGTTGATGCAGCATGACTACAGAACCTTTGCGGTAAAACATACGTCAACCAATAATAAATGCTGTGGTTGTGTAATGGCTGATGAAATGAACCGGAAACAATTCTTTGTCTAGTGGGACGTGGAGGGGATCATGACCACATGGCTGTTTGATCAGGACTGTTTGCCAGGCCTGTTTGTTAGTCAGATGATGAGGGAGTTCACAGGGCGAGCTGGTGGGTCTGTGGAGTCATTCAGGCAGACGAAGAGCTGTGGCACAGAGTGGAATAATGAAACTTACTTCCTGTGGGGAAGGACCTCGTGAAAGAGGATTCAGGCTCTGAGAAAGAAGTCCCCCACACATCGGGCTCAGAAAGAACCACTAAGTGTAGGAGGGGACACAGAAGGTCAAGTAAAGGAAATTAATAGAGGGTTTCTCATTCTTTTATATATTTTGTAGGGAATAAAACATTCATCAGCTTGTAATAAAAATCTTAAATCGAGTAAGGAAATCTGTTAGCAGTTAGAAAGTGTTAGCTGGAAGAAAAAACTATGATACACATCATGAACAAACTGCCAAACAAAGCTCATAAGTACTGCATGTCTATTATGGAACTACACATGAGCAGCTACACCTGTGTGAATCAATGTATAGTGGTATTTTATATCAACTTGAGGTCATTATGCCTGAGGTGAAACTTATGTAACAGCTAATTGCTTTTTGATAGTCTGCAACTGAAAACCCAGAGGATTGAATGTTAGCAGTTACAATAGAACCTACGTATTAACCAACCTGCAATATACCTATAAACACAACCTTGGGGGGTTATCTTCAGCTTTGACCTCAGCAAAGACACGCTAAATTCACAACTACTGCAGTGAGTTCAAGAGAAGAAGAACTATGTAAAGACATGAGCGGAAGGCGAAGGGAAAATGTGTTGACAATCAAGTAAGACTAAGCTGACAGCAAAAGAGACACAGTAAGAGTATTTTCAGAAAGCCTCCATGAATCAATCCAGACAAAAACATAGACACATTTAGAGGATAAAAAGGGATGATGGATACAGGAATAGAGCAGTTACCTTCAGTTTTCTGTTCTCCGAAGGCTGTTTCTAAAGGAGGCCCAAATAAGGCTGTGGTGTCTTCAGGGACTGCTGTTTGCTGATTGCTGCAGCGGCAACAGAGTGAGTAAGAGAAGACAAGTGTTGTCATTTCACCAAATAGTCAGTTAACTATTTTAAGCCTGCTATGACACATTACAGTCAGGTAATGCATGGCAAGTCATCAAAATGTCATCACAAATTTAAATTTCCACCAGACTTTATTGATGGCACGTAAGGATTGATCAATCCATTTATGTTCAACAAGAATTTTCATTTATAAAGATGGAGGCATTCAAATAATTGAGGCAAAAATGTTATTTTCTGAAAATAAGAATTTTGTTATTGGGATTAAAAAGGGATCAGGCCAATCTGAACCCTTTTAATCACTTTTTAAAGTGTATTAATGTATTATACATTACTTATAATTACTAATCTCTAAAGTTTGGTTTTAATTATTTTTATTAAAGTCTTCCAACTCAAAGGGCAAAACAACCTAAGCAATGTAAGCCGTGACTTGAAATCCAGCATTTCATTTAATTTGTGTGAGTCAGGCAGTAATACTTTGCTCACATTGACCATGTGCACTATTGGCAAAAAATGCCCTCTTTAACATGATTATAACCAATTTGGAAAGTTTCATAAATGCACTGCTTCCAAGTAGGCAGATAACAAATACAAACTCTTGCACCAGTATTGAGAAGAAGGAAAAACTGCACTAACTGCATTGGTCATGTGGAGATACAGTGACTAATCTCTGTCTCCATGTGCAAAGAGAAGAGCCAATGTGACTTATCTGACTCCTCATGACTCAACAGACAAAACAATGAACACTGAAACAACTGGACAACAAAAAGCTGACATTCAGGTAAACCAGCATGATTCACCTACACAGAACTCACAATATAAACAACTGTTATTAGGCATTCACACAAGAGTAATATTAGATTTGGTGCTCAGTAAAAAACCACTGTTGTGCAGACTGACAGCTTTGCAAGCTTAATGTAGTGCACAGATTCCCACAAGAAGAACAAAAATGTTTTTTTGTTTTCCTAAGAAGTTGTTCAAAATTCCTAAGAGATGGTAAAAGTGGGGCAGTCTTGCAATGAGGTCTTTTGCATTAGAAGAGCAAAGAGTAATATCAAGAACATTATCTAAAAAATGTCCCATTTCTGAGCTCCACTGCAGTACTGGGGTGATTCTTCAAAGAAATTATTTAGCAAGCCTGAAAACAAACGCTGTCACACTTCAGATTTTCACTTGATTTAAAATAAGCTCTTGAATAATTTTCTTTCCAAGTGGCTGATCAAATCAAATCCCAATGAATTTATGTAATATTAAAGCTCGTGACAGCACAGTGAGAAATGTGAAAAAGTTCAGTCTTTTTGTGAAGTACTGTAAAACAGCTGCTATACAGAAACAGTGTTTTATTTAATGATAAATGCTTTGAGGGCTTTTTACAAAACAACAAGGCAAAACTATTTAATATTTAATATTTTCAGAAACAAAATGCATAAAGTGAGAACCATGCTTCATACCTGGATGGTTGAGGTGCTGGAGCTGGTGTGGGGGCCACAATGGGAGCAGCAGGAACGGCACGCCTTGGCCTGGCAATTTCCTCACCTGGGAGAAAACAGCATTTTATAGTACTTTACTCAAAACAAAAATACAAGTCTGGACTGAAGGGCAGTAAGAATGTTACTTACTAGATGTGTTCCTTTTAATACCCTATAACACGGAAAAAAAAAACAAAAAACAGTAAAGTATAAAAATGCTAAAAAGAAGAGGTACAAAGTAACACATTTAGATTTTACCTCTATGCTCAGAAGAAGCAAATACTTATTTGTAATTCCTAATTTCACTTACATGAAAAAATCACTTTAGCTCAAAGAGTAGGTGGTAATAATTCAAGGTCCTTCACCATAGTTTTTTTTTTCCCTAAAGTAAAATAATCCCGTGGTGAAAAATGTAGTGAAAGCCAACCATTAATATTTAGTTTTCTACAAAATCACACATAACAACTTAAAAGCACCCCTCACTATGGCAACACAATAAATGTAAAACAACCCATTTTTAATGTGTTTCATTTTGGAGCTCAGACTGCCTAGGAATTTTTAATTAGCATTTCTTTTTACTTTTTGGTTCCTTGGAAGTCTAAATATGACCAGGCGCAGAAACCCATTTTTCACAACTAGCTTACAGGATGGAAGAGGGTCTAAGTTTATCTCGTCACCAAGAAAAACCTTCCCTTCAAAGCTGGCTGCAGAGAACTGCAGCAAAGAGTCGCATCTTGGGGACCCCAGTGTCTGTAACAATGCCTCTATCTACCTGCCAATCGGTTGTTTAAAAAGTAAGCCCAGAAAAGTAGAATGAGAAGACATTATAATATTTCTGCAATCTGATATTGTGCAGCTCTTTGTGGACTTTGGCGTTACACCTGGAAACAAAGAATGAAAAGCAACTAAACATGGCTCAGGATGTGCATCACATCATGAACTCTTTGAGGACACTTTAAGTCATTTTGATAGCTTTAACTCTGCAAACATAAAATCAACCCTGTTCAATGGTCTTTCTAAATAAACTGGTTATATTAATTAATTTAGAAAAAGCAGTTATTTCAGCCTTTTCTGACCCTTTAACCCACTGAACAAATGAACCAAAAAATATTACTGTGAGATTTTGTTACTGCACAGTGTTGGTAATAAATATGGACGCAATTCAATTGAGTTTAATTATATTGCAGCCTTAAATCCTCCTGGACGAACATGTAGAAACTGTGCGTACTTGAATTATTACCACCCACAGTGTGATCAGCACCACTTGCATGTGCATATAATAAAGCATAATCCTACTAGTTACTAGGAAAAAAAAAACTTTATTAGTTTCATATGAGAGAAAAATTGCATCTTAGAAGCCCTCTGCTGCCTGCTGTAACAAGAAAGCAGTGGATTGTCATCAAAGCTTTAAAAAGCCTTTAATTATAAGCTTTCTGAGGTGTAAGAAGCAGCTTGTGACAGCACTAAGTGTGAGACTGACAGTTGGTGTGCAAAATCTAAGGATCTTAAATTTGGCTGACAAGGTGATAATCCAGACATTATTGTCTTTTTTCCCCACTGTGATCCTAACAGAAGTATGAATTCACAGTGGGGAGGACACCACGAGCAATCAAAGGCTGGGGTGTGTGAGAGGAGAGTGTGACAGGAGGGGAGGACACATGAGCAGATGAAGAGACACGATGGAGAGAGACTGGAGTGAGACATCAAAGAGCCAGCTGTCAAAAGTGCAAATTATCACCAAGCAGACAGAAAAAAATAGAACATAGATGGAAAATCAAAACACCTTTAAGACTAGAGATCTGAAGAATTAGTAAATAAAACTTTAAAAATGCTTATTTTAGCTGAGGAAATTTCAACTCTTGCTGAAGGGTACAAGAAGCCATGTGATATATTTAGTGTCACCCCAGTTAGACAGATGGAAAGGACACTTACCGGGCTACGTCTCTGTGACCAGCATAAAGGAAGAGAGAAGAGATACCTGATCAGAGAGTGACAAATCAGTAAAGAGGACAGCATGTGCATCAGAAGAAGACTGTTTGGCCTGGCTGACTGTCGTATTTCATGAGTAATACTTTTTCTGTTGAATTTATGAAACATCTTTTCAAACATTTAGTCAAGATAGCTCAGGGTGATTTATTGAAACGGATATGTATGTTTGTAACTATAGCATTGAAAATGCATTTGCCAGCCTACTGCGACTGGACAAAATCCAAAACATCTTGTAGAGCTGCCTTATTAATTCTGTTTCTTTAACGCCTGCTGTTAAAACAGAAACTCTGCCACCTAATCCCAGCGAGGTTCCTTTCATTTCCCTACGTAACCTCCCATCTGCCCTCTTCCACTCTTTAATTTCTACTGAAATCACTCCATCTGCTCGCATCAGATCCACCTCACAGCAACCATCTCTCCCTCCATTCTCTCTCACTCTTTTGCTTGCCCCAGTTGTGCAGTGAGCCATGAGTGATTAAAGTGATGTAACAGAGGGTGGGACATGCTAGTGGTAGGAATTCATATAATTGGATAAAGTAAGGAAGGAAAGACCTCAGTGAAGGCTGACTCAGCCAATTGTTGCAGCTCTGCTGAACGTAAACAGGAAGTGCATCAGAGCTGAAATCCCTAGTCCATTTAAAGCACTACTAGTGGTTTATCATATATTGAATATGCGACAAAATATAAATATTTTTTAAATGCTACATTGTTTTTGATATTTGTAAAACAATAAAGGATTTTACATTATTGTGGTTGTTAAACTCAGACAAGTTGGCTGTATTTTAAGCAGACAAATATTACTATCTACAACAGACTGAAATAATGATAAATATGGAAAATATAAAAATAAATGGAAAAAACAAGTTCCAGTTTTTCTTTGGAATAAATGCAAGTATATAAAAAAAATCAAATAGATATGCATTTTGAGAGGTTGTCATAACATTTCAATTTTCAGTATGACCCCAATACTTGTTTCCTTTAGAATATATAATCTCAGAACCAGCAGACTAAAGGCTCCACAACTAATTAAATCAGATCAGTCAAACACAGAAGAAATACACCTTAAAGAAAAAGCTCTTGCACTGTATGTAGCACAGCAAGAAAGAAAAATTTGGAAGTGGTTTAAAAGCAGCTGAGCAGCTACAGAAGCACAATGCTTCTCTAAAGTCTATATCTGTTAAAAAAATCATAAAATATTTCCATCTTTAATGTGATATAAAACCTGTGCAATTCCACAGAGGTATGCCACATCTCTCCTTTGCAAGATCTGCCCACTATACCAAACAAAGGTTCTCCATATCCACAGTTTAGTTTTAAAATGCTGTGAATTTTGTTGTACCCTTGTCCTGACTTATACCTTTGCACAATACGGCTGGATCACTTCCATGTTTTTTAACCTGTCTGATTTTATAAGTAAGGAAGCATGAAGACAAAAGGAGATTCTGCACTTTTGGGATGTACTAAATCTGCTTTAGATTTAAGTTGACAAAAGTCAACATTGGCGATTTACCTCACAAATACAAGACTAGTAATTGTGTCATCCCAAGCTGATTTCATACTTTGGCCCAAATTTAGTTTGCATATCAGCAGCTACAAAAACATAGCACATGCATTTGTAAGCAAGACATATTTTTAGAGCAAAAAGAGCACATAGTTAAGAAATGCATATAAAACAAAGATAAAAAGCAGAGTCTTACCGGACTCCTCTACAGGGGTTAGGGTCATTTTAAGCAGCAAAGCAAAAATATTCAAAGGAAGAGAAAAAGGTAACAGAATGTTAGAAGGCTGAGAGGGTGTTATACACACAAGCAAAGCAGACATGGAAAGTGATCTCCAGTTGTAAACACATATTTTATGACAGTTCTCTGAGGAGAACTGGATAAGTTGTCAACAGATAATTTGTGTAAAGCTTTTGTGTGAAATAAGCTGTAATCCTGCATCATCATTGCTTCATCACAAACACTTTGTAACTCTGACAAAGTTTTCACAATCTGGGGTCAGAAGAATGTTATTGTTAATGTAATGAAATACCATCCAACAGACTAAAGGAATAGACTTGTATGCACCAAATGGGCATTTCTTGGTTGGTAAAGATTTCTGTTCTTCTTTTGGGTCTAACCTTCAAGTTCTGTTTTTTTATGTGGACAAGGACTAGATGTTCTTTCATAGAGGTGGTGATTATATATCTAATATAAAAAGCAATAAAATAATATGCCATTTTATGCCATACATAGCATGTCTCTAAATCTGATTAGTTTATTATTAAACTAAGAAAAGAGCTGATGAATGAAAATAGTGAGAGTTTAGTTTTGAAAGAAATTCAGATCTTTCAGTATTTTAGATGCTGATCATCATTCAAAGTCCATCAAGGGGAAATTGGCAGATGCCCTTCTCTGGTCAACTGACTGGTACATTTTTAGTTAATATGCAAGGGGTAAGACCAAGCCTGTCACACAACCAAGCACACTTAGAACCTATGTTTTTAATTATTAATAATTAAACATTAATAAGACAACGCAGCTGCTAAGCAATATGCCCACAAGTATTTTTCTGCCCAGCAGCACACTCACAAATACTGAAAGCTGAACAAAAATCCTAATAAATTTGTTATTTTGTGTTTTACTCAAAGTCTTCCACACATGAACCCAAACAATAAGAGCATAAAAAGACCTTCACACCTAATAAGGTTGACAAAGCCACTGGGTGAACCCACTGAAGCTGGATTAAATTATTGAGGACAGAAGCTCAAATGACCACAGGTAATGTCCTTTTATTGTGGACTGAAACACAAGTTCATTGTGTCCACTTTCCTATGTGAATAATTTAAAGCAGACACCTAACCTAACTGTCCTGACTGGGGAAACACAGGACTGGAGACCTGCAGACCAATAGGCATAAAAAAGCTGAGGGCTGCCTGAGGAACCCCCCTGCAAACTGCAGGCTGCATGATGGGCATGAGATGATTAAGTTCTCACAGGGACTTAATGTTGTGCTGCCTGGCAGCTGTGAACTTGTGGTTTAAGATGTAGACATTCTGAATAACATTCAATTACTATGGAATAATATGAAAAAAAATACAAAGTATAAAAGCCTTACAAATTTGTTACATAAATTCTAAAATTTCCAAAATTACTTAAAGCTGTTAGTTCAGTATTCAAACCAAAGAGTATGCGTGCTTGCTCTGCTAAATTATTGACAAAAAGATAAATATATATTATTAAAAGGTGGAATTCATTTAGGCCAATTTCACTCAGAGGAGTGGATTTGAAGAATTTATTTGTCCTTGTTTATTTTTTTTTAGATTACAGCTAATAAAAATGCTTCTATTTCTTAGAAATTAGAATTTCAAAAAATCAACAAAAAAGACATTTAGTGCAGTGATGTCATGTTATGGCGCTCTAGACAATCATGAGAAAGACCGCTGACTCAACAGTTGTCCTGCAGACAGTTACTGACACCCTCTGCAAGGATCAATAGGTCATTGTGAAAGAAACTTGCTGCCCACAGAAAGCAGTTTCCAAGCACATTAATGAAAAGTTGAGTGGAGGAAAATGGTTTGGCAGAAACTGCTGCACAATAATCTTTCACTCTCAGTTTTGAGAGAGGACTCAATTAATCATTATTTTGGGGAAGATTCACAATGTGTCAATACATTAGGAGTCACCACACGCAGACATCCAGCTAGGAACAAAACTATTAGCTTGCCTCTGAAACTTGTAAAAATTGAGATTAGAATGTCACTTGAAAAATTTCACTTCGCATATAATTAATGAATATAAGAGAAGTTTTACATTTTAATGGAGCTGCTGACTTAAATTATATTTTTGATTGTATTCTAATTTATTGCGATGCGCTCCGCATGCTAACAGTTGGAAGTAAAGACAAGAAGCAAAAATGAGCTATGCACACATGTAACAACAACCTAAAACATCACAAATCAATTCTGCTAATGAAGGACAGCAGCAGGAGGGCATAACCGTTGGGGTTACTCACCATAGGAGACGGGGACAGGGCTATGTTTCCTATGGAGGCTTTGAGCTCATCAACCGAAGGAGCCGATATGACACAATCAGCTGGCAGCGGTTTGATTTTGATTTTGAATTTCTTCTTGTGGTCCTCTTCCTCCTCAGACTCGTCAGACGAGAAGAAATGGGTCTTTTTGGTAGGTGAGGGCACAAAGTCAAAGAAAAAGTCCAAACGTAAAACAATCCAGCTGATTTGACCTCTAACTGGGATCCCATTTTAAATATGGAACATTTAACACAGTATCTCATTACAGGTAAAACAAAAGCCCTGTTTCTACTTCGTGATGCAGTGTCTGCTCCTAATTAACATATTTTCCTTTTGAGGTTCAAACAATTGTCCCTTCAGTTGTTCAGTTACTGTCGAAGTTAAAAACAACAACCACTCCTCTGCACAGTGTGATGAGAAACATTCGAAAGGTGACAGAAAACAACATCGCCTGAAAGGTTACAAAATATACAACTAATCTAGACACGCCAGTTGATTAATGTGATGTTTCACAGAAAGGTTATAAGGTTTTCACAAGACATTTGAGGTATAATACTATAATACAATTACTAATTAGTAAGACACTGTTGTACATAATCTTTTAATGATCTTCTCAAGATATTCTTTGAAAACAAAACAACTGATCTGTTTAAAGAGATGTGAAAGAATTTTGTCATGGACTAGCAATGGTAAATCAGGTTGTGCTGAGGATATCTCCTTCCTCTGACTCTTCATCAGGTCTGATGCTGTAGCCTTCATCATCCAACTCAGGGGAGTTCTGAAACACACAAACTGTAAATCAGTACAGACCTATAAATGTGAGTACAGTTCAAATGTTAACACTGGATTTCCAGTCGTAGCAAATTATGTTCATTGAAGCTAAACGGTAAATTGAAAAAGTCATGCTTGTCATTGACTGATAGGTATAGCTCAGTTACTGGTATCAATGTACAGCAAAGTGCTAAAACATTCTATTATGAAGCCTCGTCTCTCCTTGACCTGTTTCCGGACACTTCCAGTCAGCTGGTTGAAACATGGCAACTATAAGCTCTTCTACCATTTACAAGAAAAATAAATGTGTCTGTTTGGTTATATCTGGTTAACCAAAGAGCACTGCCCATGCATCTTACTAATTCGACTATGTAGAGTATTAAAACTGCACATAAACCTCTAAATATGAACAAATCTGCATGACCAAACACCAATTGTCCTCTACCTAAGTATGTGCAGCACGGGCGTAGCTGGCTTTATCACCAAACCGCTGCACACCCATCACTACATTCATTTTTCCTTGTGGCTCCATGTTTTCTTGCTCTCTTCCATAGTAAGAGACGTATGCAATGTGGGGGTGAAAGTGCAAAGCTTCTGTTTTACCCTGGATAATGCTGTACAACAAGATCTCGGCAAAGCAAACATTATAGGAAACACTCTAATAATTGTAAGAATTAATATAATGATTGGGTAGCAATAGGAATAACTCCTGTTTTTCTGTTTTGCATAAAACAATTAAATCATTTTGGGGTTTTACTGTTAATTATTGGTCTTAATAACACAACATTATGTGTTTTTATTGATGGCTTAATATTATGAGACTTTATTCTGGCCTAAGTTTATTTGTCAACTACAATTTCTTTATGCAACCAGGGATAAAATAAGATCAACACTAGCTCTAAAGAAGGCTGAAATTTTGGTCTGATTTGGTGCAGAAGCACCGCCTCAACAACTTAAACCAACTAACTTTACTTACGTATCTTTCCCAGTCGATATCTTCATAGAAGCCATTCGGGGCTCCATTTGTCTTCTTCTGAGCCTGAGAAGACAGAAGCTGTTTGATTAAAATCCCTCCAGACACTGAAGAAAGAGTGAGTTATGTAAGACTCCACTTTATCTATTGCAAACTACAACTCAGCAGGATTCTTGTGCAATTGGATTTTTTTTCTCAGACGGTGTTCTGTTTTTTCCACTTTTCTGAAGCTTTGGGTCATCAAAATAACAACACTAGAACCAATATTTTGCATTTTTATAATTCATATTTGAACAAAAAAGGTTAATTATGATGACAAAAGTATTCTTGCTCCAAACATTGCACTGAACGTTTCCTCATTTTCATCTACTATGGTTCTGACAGCTTGTTAATGAAATAATAGCTCAGGGAGTAAAAGCTCAGTGGGAGACTGATGGAATAAATAACAAGCTGCAGTGTTTTTACTGATACTAATTCTATCCAGACACAGTGCTACTCTAAAAGCTTGTCTATTCTAAAAGGCTGAGTTCAGTACCGATTCAACCTCTTGGGGTTCCTGGCAAGCAAAAACGACACAAAAATAAATAATTTATCCAGTATTCACCAGATTCAGCTCATCAGAAAGTCTCTTTGTGCTTGTAAAAAGAATTCTGATTTGAAAATAAATGTAACTACATTGACTGTTACTTACACCACCATCTCTGTCTGGAGACCCTCTGTTACATATAAAGGGAAAAAAAGAGAAAGAAATATGAAAGGTTTCTTGTTCTCTTTATTTGAAATATTTACGAAATTGCTAATTAGCCCAGGTAAAATTATTTAAAATACTCCAAACCAATCAAATTGATCAATGCATTTTAACATCCACAATGCTATGCTACCTCCTCTGAACGAGGGTCAGAGCATTGCAAAGAAAAAGAGGACTTACGTAGAGTCACTGTCCTTCTCTTTCTTTCGTATCCCGAAGGCCTTCCTGGTACGTTTTTTCAATCCTGAAAAAGCACAAAGCGAAACCAAAGGCATGAATAAAAGGTGGCTCGCGTGGGAGGCTTAAAGGGTAGTCTGGGTCAGCTGCATGCCAATGGGATCAAAGGCAATATTTTTATGTATTCTTTATTGACTGGCTGCATCGCTGGGAAGAAAAACGCTGCTAAAACTATAAATGTGTTCAGGCTCATCACAGATTGAATGACAGCCTTGTAATCATCAAGGAAACCTTTTAGGATGGAAAATTAATTAGGACTGAAAATCAATGAGCCAGCGACTGAGCCAGGACAGCAAAAGGGCAAAGATGGAGGAAGCTACAATAGGTCACACAGAAAGTTCAATACATTACAATTCATACAACACAAGACTCAAAATGTACTGATTAGCATATTGCATGATAGTCAAAAAATAGAACCATGCTTTGTTCTTTAGTTAAATTAACTGAACTATTATTTTTAATAACAACTCTATTTCAATAAGCTTAAAACCTTATCTTTACGTCTTCTTCACCTTAAAAAGGAGGTTAGATTACAGTTTCTCGCAACTTTATACCTGCTACCTTTGACATTAGAACAATTTAATATCAGCTGGACTGAAAAGCCCTGTTGAAAAGACTGATCTCAGATGCTCCCACCTCTTTCTTACCCAGAATGAAGGTCCAGTTGTCCCCCTCCATTCTGTCTCTGCCGAGTCCTCTACTTTCATTCTTCCTTCTCTTTACCTTGCAGAGAACTCATCGCATAATCTACAGACCAACCAGTCTCTTCCTCATACCATCTACAGATACACGCTGTACCTCTGATGAGGAACTTGATTCTCTTCTAGCTGAAGCATGCGCACACACCTACATAGATAAGGTGTCCTGTCCTTGATCTGCATATGGTGCTCAAATTCAACACCAGTGGCTTTTATTCTTAGTTAAAGGAAGATTTAATGTAGTTGTCTGAAAACCCCCCCATCAAAATCAGTTCCATCTAACTGTTTAATTTGAATTGATGTTAAAGAAGATAGGCATTTACTTGATCTTTATCTTTACTGACAAAGTATAAAACAATTAAGCCCCTGCAAACTGCACTGACACAAAATGTGATCAATATCCAAGGACACAAGCATATTCTGTGTTTTGAAAGCACCATTGCTTTAATGAAAGCAAAGTCAGAAGAATGAGAAATAGAAAAATAAAAATAAAAAAATCCTCCAAGTTTTCTGTCAAAGATCCATGGTCACTTTTTTAATTTAAACACTTTACATTAAGGCTTTTTACATATTGTGTTTTTTCTCAAATAGTGTGGATCGTGAGAGGCATGAGGGTTTTTTTAAGTTGGTGCCTTTATTAATGGTTGAATGAAAAACAAGTCTCCAGTCACGATGTGGCAGCAGTGCCCAAACTAATCAACAGGCTGCCTGTTCAACCCAGAAAAAGAAGTAGCCTACACAAACACACCTGTGTACAGAGCTGACAGTACAGGAGAGATGCAGAGACGGTCGTAGAGGGAAGTAAAGCAAGTGACTGTCACCAGTAGAAAAAGACCAAGAAATATGAAAGTTTCACTATGAATGCAAAATGTTATGCACTTTTCATCCCTTCCGATAATCTAAAAGCAACATTGCAAATTTTGCAAAAAAATGTAGGTTTTTTTTTTAGTTTAAACCCGTTTTGATTGTTACTGTGTTTAGTCTAAAATGCAAATCCCTGAAAGTCGTTTGCACTTCTGTTTTAAGACTTTTGGCAAAAGTCTTGCCTCCAAAAAGGGGAAGACAGATTGCACTGTTGCGATCATTATATAGTCAGCAAACAAAAAAACTTGACCTGTACTGCAAAACAAGGAATAGGTAAGTGCATACATGTTTCTGAGATCACAGAAAGAATAAAAGCTATGAAGCTAAACAAAAATGAATAAAAAGACAATTGACAAATATTTCTGTTTTGGAAAAGTGTAAACATGTTCTAATTATTATAATCTAATACTAGAATTGCATATCAGTAAAAACTCGCCGCCCCACCCAAAAAAACAAAAACATTTGTTATCGTCTTTTGCTTGACTTGTTCTGTAACTTGATTTTTCTTCACTAACTACAAGTCTGGGCCTTATTTTTCATTGGGATTTCATTTGTCAGAAAATAATGTGTTTCTTGTTTCAGAGAATAATTTATGCTCTATCGATCCCCAATCAGTCATCTTTTAGCTCCTGATTTTTTCCTTCTTTTGGCACATTCAGTATAAATTCATGTTTGCTCCCAAATACAAATTAACAGAAAAAGATCTGAAACAAAAGAAGCCATTTGAATTTCTTTTTAATGTGGAGATTTAATATGAGTGTTTAATTTTTTTAGTTTTTAATTTTTCAATGTCCTCTTGATTCCACTTTATATGGATGTTCCTCTCTATGAAGAAAATCCTGAAATACATGCTTATCTTATTTGGGAGAAGATTTTCACAATGTTTAAGTTAAATGACATCTATTTATAGACGTTGATATAAGTAAAGCGGATAAGAAAGCACTTTAGGGGTGAAATGGCAGGCAGTAAAGACTACGTGGTGCACACTGTTTAAAACTTCTGTTCAGAATGATGATAGATCAACTACTAACATAAATAGCGGCCTATTCCCAGGACACACTAACGTAAGTTCAACACAAAGCAAGTGACTTACAACTAAATAGGAAAAAGGCATTGTCAAACCTAAAACAAAATACAAGATATCAAGAGTTTTTAAAATTATTCACTGAGAGATGCACAAAACATTTTTTCTTCAGACTGAAATATAAGGCTCCTTGATAGTTTCTATTGATTACTTAGATTTAAAGAAGTGGTACTATCAGGAGTAGTAACAGAGTAGTAACACGTGCTAACGGCTTTGCATGAGCCATCCTTCAACCTCTATAAAATGATTGTCAATTATACAGTTTGTTCATAAGGTGACCCAACTTCACAGTTTTCACTCTGCTGATTTACACACAGATTAGAAACTAATCTCAACCCGGAGGCTGAGAAAAATACCTTAAATATGATATCCAACATCACCTCAGACATCTGAGGAAGGAAGATCGATGGAAACTTAACTGGTGCTTTAGGGATTTTTATAGTCCCTAAATGTTTTGTATAATAATTCTGAATTTCTGGGCCTTGATCATTTTTACAATTTAAAGACACAAATAGGTTCCGTATGAGTTCATGACAACCATCCATGCAATTGTTTCTACAGAAGTGAAGGAAAAAGAAAGGAAGCAAGGAATAGAGACAGGAATGAAAACAACACAGGATGAAGGGAAGAAAGGAAGGAAGGATGGACAGACAAAAGAAAAAGTGGACCAACAGGTGGATGGATGAAGGCATAAATCGATGGATAAACAGACAAATTAACAAATGAAAAGATGGATGAACAAATGCCTGGAAAGATGCAAATCTTAGGTTTGACAGAGTAGGTAAACAACTCTATGACTTCCTTACAGATCTTTAAAGCAGTCATACAAAAACATCCCAGCCTTTGTCTGAGGAGTGGGACTCTATATTCCTTCCTCTACCAGTGAGCTAAAATGAAACTGTACACAAAACACACTCAAAGTGTTTGTTTGCTTCTGGACAGACAGAACAGGAGCTGTTTGACAAGCTTCTGCAAAGGGGGGAGACATGATGAGACTATCAGCCAAACAGGCAGCCAGGCACAGCTAACACTGCCAACTACACAGGAGCAGAGCAGGCCACTCCACTCCAAACTCTGAATGAGAGACTTGTGGTACTCTGCATAGCAAGCAGAAAGAACGATTATACAAGACTGAAGCTTAAAAAAAAAGAAGTGTTCGACCCTAGCAGAGAGATAAAGTCTTTGGCTTTACAAAACAACAGTGTAGGTTAAATGAATAGACATTTTCCTACAACATTGAAAAAAGCAACAACTACTCAAGTTTGGGTCATTAAATCAGTATGGAGTGCATGTGAGAACATGCTCAGGTTGCCAAACCGCATGCCAGGAATACAACAAAAGGAAGAAATGTTATGTTTTGAGAAACTGTGCTGTCATGAAAGCACAATTTCATGACAGCACAAGTAAAAACCCTAAACAAAGAACAATTAAAAAGGAGCAGGCTGTAAGGAAAAAACAAGAGTAGGAAGGGAAAAGGAAGCTAGATGGAGCAGTATTAAGTCAAGTAGACAAACAGAGCGGCAAATAGCAAATAGAAAGCTTAAGACTCCTTTGTCAGAATGATTTCTGTCCTTGAGAGGAATAAACAGAAGTGACAGATATGCTCAACATGAGCAGTTACAGTAAAGTGATCTTATTACACTGCACAGAAATCATACACATTATTCTAAACTCTAGAAATCAAGTTTTTATTATATGTGATGCCTTTCTTCTACATTTTAATCAGAGCTAGATGTTTATGAATTTAAGAATTTAAAGCATAATTACATAGTGAAGAACAGTGCTTCTAGATTTATATTGTATCAAATATACGCTCCATAAAAATGCATCAAACCTCTCTTTTCTCCTCACCATCGCCATTAAATTGGACTGAAGTTTTTCTGTTTTAGGTTAGAAACTACTATAAAAATGAGAGTTCAAATTGGACAATGACCCGAAACATACTCCTTCAAATTAGTTACAAACTGGTTGAAATCCAAGAAAGGTTATATTATAGTGTGGTAATCACACGGCCCTGATCTCAGCTCCACAGAAAGTTTGAGCGGGTGGAGATTTAAGGGGTGGGGATCAGTTACATCAATTCTCTTAGGAGAAATGGGTAAAAATGCCAAATACTGTGAAAAGCCCAACACAGTTACTAAAGTTAAGGCTATCAAATTCTTAGTAAATATATGGAAACTTTTGTATCTGATCAGTATCAATGTTTGTGGAAAAAATGGTCATGTGCCATTTTGTAATGTGTATATCTGGTTTCAACTTCAGGGTTTAGATATGGAACAGTGGTCTTAAGCACTAACAGATGTTGACTGAAGTTTTTTTTTTTTTTTTTTTACAAAAAACAAATTCATAAATATTTATATA